TTTTTTTTTTTTAATAGCTACAGAGTATTCTGTTGTGTAGATACATTATACGGTATATTTAATCAGTACCCTTATTACTTGACAAATGAACATTTTCCATTCTTGTGCTTTTAAATAATGCAACAATGAGTAATGTTCTACATAAGATACTTCATATGTGCGTAAGTTGCAAACCTACATGATAAATTTTCAAAAGTGGTATTTCTGGGTCCAACAGTAAATACTATAGGTTTTTGATCAATATCGCTAAATTGTATCCTTTGCATTTTACATCATTTAGTAGATAATGATTCCTAGAAGATAGAAAAGAAAAATTAATTGCAGTTCTTTCTGCTAGCCAGTGGCAATTCTTAGCAGTTTTTTGTGTAATTACATATCTGTAGATTTTTTTCCGCTTTGTAGACAAAGAGTAACTATAACATTCTGTACCTTGCTTTTTTCATTTAAAATGCATTTTTAATATGCTCTTATAGAAATTAAAATATATATCTATTAGGAATCTACTTTTCCAAGATGAAAAAACATATTAAAGATGAAATTATCTTACTTTGTTAAGTAATTTCTAATTCTTCCAAGGTAGATGGATTCTTTTTTCCTAGTAGCTGCTGATTCTGGGGCTTGCGTGGTGTCAGAACCAGGTGGTTTTGCCCAGCTAGTCCCCTTTGGCTGTGAATAAAAGTGGTGCAGCACCAGCTGGAAGAGCAAGGGCTTTGGAGTCCAACCTGGAGCTGCCATGGCAGGTTACACACTGCTTCTCAGTTTCCTCTGGCATAAAATATGCCACGAAGGAGTGTGCTCTGAGGTGTCATGTAGTGATCTCTATAAAGTGACAGATAGGGTTCTGATACATTAGAAGACACTCAATAAACACTATTTACTATCAAGTCTTTTTTTTGTTGTTTGTTTTTTTGAGACAGAGTCAGGCTCTGTCACCCAGGCTGGAATGCCATGGTACTATCTTGGCTCACTGCAACCTCTGCCTCCTGGGTTCAAGTGATTCTCCTGCCTCAGCCTCCCAAGTAGCTGAGACCACAGGTGTGTGCCACCATACCTGGCTAATTTTTGTATTTTTAGTAGAGATGGGGTTTCACCATGTTGGCCAGGCTGATCTCAAACTCCTGGCCTTAAGTCATCTTCCTGCCTTGGCCTCCCAAAGTGCTGGGATTACAGGCTTGAGCGACCACGCTTGGTCCAATAGTGCAAGTTTTGTTGATAATATTCAGATGAGGCTGAGCAGATCCCCTTTTCTCTGAGTCATAAATCGAAGGCCTCAAAAACTGGCAGAACTCACCCTAGATAGGAAGTTTCCAAAATTACCATTTTCAAAGAATTTTTATGGTCTAGTCCTCAATGCTGTCCATCTAAATTGTCAGCTATGTCTTAGCTGCAGATCCTTTTTTCCTTGTCTTTTCTTAATAAGCAGAGACTTTACCTAGTTGTCTCTTTGTCCCCAGGCTAGTACTGGCCCATCCTGGAGGCTGCTTTCTTCTCTCTGCTGCCTCTAGAAGTATGCATATGGGTAGAAGGGCACCCATGCCACCTCCTGAAGGTGCAATAATCTGTAGCTTGTTTCCTGCCCTTATAGGGAGTCCATGGAAGAAGAGGAACCTTTCTCCTTAATTCAGTCTCAGAATTTGTAAGCAACAGAGAGGTTCTACTGGCTGTCTTTGAAAGCTTTAAAGATTCTATAATTGACAGCTCTTAATTTTTTGTTGCTGGCACCAGACTGCACGATACCTCAGCGCACATTCCTTTGTGGCATATTTTACACCAGAGGAAGCTGAGAAGCAGTGTGTAACTTGCCATGGCAGCTCCAGGTTGGGCTCCAAAGCCCTTGCTCTTCCAGCTGTGCTGCACCACATTTATTCACAGCCAAAGGGGACTAGCTGGGCAAACCACCTGGTTCTGACACCACGCAAACCCCAGAATCAGCAGCTACTAGGAAAAAAGAATCCATCTACCTTGGAAGAATTAGAAATTACTTAACAAAGTAAGAAAAATTAATAACAATGACACCCAACCCTTTCAGCTAATTCCTAACAACTTACCTTCTGTGTCTAAATATCCTATTGGTATGACATGACACAGTGCTTTTTTTTTTGGAGGCAGAATCTCGCTCTGTCTTCCAGGCTAGAGAGTACGGTGGTGCTATCTCTGCTCACCACAACCTCCACCTCCTGGGTTCAAGCGATTCTCCCACCTTGGCCTTCCGAGTAGCTGGGATTACAGGCGTGAGCCACCGTGCCTGGCATCACGCAGTGCTTGACGCATCAGTTTTCTGTCTTTATGTGATTCAGTACTAGGGTTTGAGTGATCTTGTAGCTGAAAATTTTACCAACCTGGCTTTGGTCTGTCTCTAGTTGATCTCTTTATGTTAGAGACCCTCCAGTTGCCATTTATAAGCAACCAGATAGTCTAGGAATTTACTAGACTGTCTCATACAATGTGCTGCCATGGGCTTGGTGTGCTAGCATATGAAGTAAAAGAATGGCCACAAAATCTTGTTGTCCACCTGACTTCTTGTGGGTGTGGCTTTCTGAGAGACCAGACTAGAGACTGACCAGCAGAGAGATTTTTTCCAATTAGGAAAGTAAGTCACAACCCCACCAAAATTTCAGAATTTTTTGTTTGTTTGTTTTAGCTTTTTTTCTATAACAAAAACAAGGACCAAAAATAGGCAGTTCTTATTTAATGATGATAAGTTGTCTGTTGACTTACAACATAGAATGTGTGCATCTTTCTTTCTCTGCATCCTGCACTTGAACTCTCCACCTTTGGGAGTGTGGCTAAGACTCCCACTCCTGGCTTCCTTTTCCTTTTAATGACCTCTGGCCCTCTGGGTCTTCTGGTGGCTGGCTCTCCTGAATGTCACATTTCTACTTTGTAGACTGTTCATCTGTCAAGCAAATCAAGGGGTACACTACCTTGCTCCTTTTCTCTCTTAACCTGTAGCATTCTTTTGAGGCTTTACCATTGCTCAGTTTCTACAGGCCTAGACCTCAGGCGTTACCTCAACTGTCTAGTGTTTCTCCACAATAAATTCACTGGTCCGTGGACACAGTAGCTTAGTTCTTCTATTTGAGCATCATGCTTAAGCAAAGTAAATTAGGCTATAATTACCTTTTCAATAAAAATGCTATATTGCCAATTTATGGTTGGCTTATACTTGGTATAAGATTTTTCTGCATGGCTGAATACTCATGTTGGATAGTGTTCGCATATGCTTTCCTGTCCAGGAGGAGTGCTTAGGTCTTGTCTCATGGAACTCTGTACTGCCAGTTCTCAGAGTTGCTTTGCTGGTAAATTTGAGCAAGTTTTAGATCAGTTTACATTTGGGCCCCTGAAAAAAAAGAGGTCTTATTAAGTGAAACAGCACCCATATGAGATTACCAGATTGTTTCCCTGAATTGTCTCAGTATGTTTACTGGTGTTCATAAAAATTTTCAGGAAAAAGAAAATAGTTTGATTGGAATTACCTGACACTATATCCATGGTAGAGATCAGGATCCAGTGAAACACACTGAAATTAGATTATGAATTATCTGTTTGTTATGTTTAACATGCATTCTGTCCTTAGTGTATGAGAGCAGGGACCTTATCTGACTCCTTTACCAGTATATTCCCAGGGCCCAGAATCATGCCTGCCATAAAGTAGGCCTTTGGTAAATGTCCTGCATTGATGGTAAAGTTGACCTTAGTAATCATTATCCATTCATTCATTAAATCTTCCATTTCAGAGTCTTCATTTCTTCGCCTTCATTGAATCTTTGCCCTTAATGTGGTTTTAAACCTTTAAGATTACATTTTAACTGGGAAGCCGACACCTGAATAAGAAAGTTCTTAAACCATGACATAGCTTGTCTGAGTCTAAGCAAAGCACTTAGCTATATTTTAAAAACTAAATGTTTATATTTAGTAAACAGTTCACATAGGCTTTCTCCTAAAATTGAAAATATACGAGGTAGCAGAATAGAACAGAGCCACCTTCAAAGGTGAAAGATCATTGTGAGTTTTTTTTCTATTTCAGGAAACTAGCTCAAATATTTTACATAGCATTTTAAAATCTGAAGCAGTGTAGCACAGATTCAAATCTGAGATATGCCACTTACTAGTTGCATAACTTCTGGCAAGTCACTTTAATGTTAGCCTTGTTTGGTGCAAAAGCAACTGGGTTTTTGCCATAAGAAAAAAATTTAAAAATCACTATTACTTTTGCACCAACCTAATAAGAATGTTTTTTCATTTGTAAAATGGGAATAAGAATAGTTCCTAAATCACAGGATTGCTCGGAGAACTAAGTGGAATAGCATATGGTAAATATAATTAAGATAAATGTTACCCATTATTATTAACCTGAAGCTTTTTAAAATTTGAGATGGAATTTTGCTCTTGTTGCCCAGGCTGGAATGCAATGGAACGATTTTGGCTCACCACAACCTCTGTCTCCCAGGTTCAAGCTGTTCTCCGTAGCTGGGATTACAGGCATGTGCCAACATGCCCGGCTAATTTTTTTGTATTTTTAGTAGAGAGGGGGTTTCTCCATGTTGGTCAGGCTTGTCTCTAACTCCCAAACTCAGGTGATCCGCCCACCTCTGCCTCCCAAAGTGCTGGGATTACAGGCGTGAGCTACCTCACCTGGCCTACCTAAAGTATTTTTAACAACTTTCTCATGAGAAGCAAGCATATGGGACATATGAGTTCATCATAAAAGAGATTATGCTGTATTTCAGAGGAAAACACTTATCCATCTTATTTTATCATTTTTAATAGTCTTATTTGAATGACTCATTCTTATTGTATAATGTAGGCTCTTAACTATTCAAGGAATAAAAGGAAGGTTTATTGTTTATAACCCATTAAAATCATTCCTGCATGCTTCTTAAGGGGAGGAATTATACCTGTTTTGTTCACCACTATAAGCCTATTGCTCAGCAGGTGACCAATATGTATTTATTAATTCCTGATTAATTAACAGTTTTGCCAGTTATCCTGGCTGTGAAATACAGCTGCCCCATTGTTCAAGCAGGGAATCAGCAATAGGGTTGGATTAAACAGGTTGGTTAATTGTGTTTCTAACTGGTGTTTCCAGACTTCTAGCTAAAATTCACTATCAAGTACTTATTTCTTTCCTTGGTGATACTATGAAAATAAGAGAAAACAGAAGAAATCTGGCAGTAATAGGTATATCCTTTAATATCTAACCATTATTACTGCAACTCAGCATAACCTTTCTAGTTCATCCCTAGGATATTTTAAATACCTTTTATTTGCCAGATGCTGCACCAGGAGATTGGATACATTTTTATTCAGTAAAGTCTAAATTTATTATATTTAGAATTTATTTTCTTCATGAATCAAAAAGAATGTCCCAGGTATTTATATTGTAGTTTATCAATTTTGTGTTTTTATGCATTTCTCTCTTGAAATTTAGAAGTTTCTTAATGTCCAAAATATTTTTATCCCCTATCAATCCATATCATAGTGAATTTCAAAGTGACCACTCAATAAACACAGGTTGAAATGTTTGCTAAGTGAGCCTTGTAGCTACTTCCACATTTTTCTTCTATAACTTGAAAGCCCAGAACAGTAGTTTCTATGGCAGTGCCACGTTGGGTAATTTTTGTTTCCTTTCCTTTTAAGCATGCTAGGAACTTACTCTGATGAATTTGGGAACCTAGATTTTGAGCGATCCCAGCATGGTTCTGGAATGAGCAACAGATCAAGAGCAAAAAGATTTATTTCTGCTCTCAATAACATTGCTGAAAGAACTTATAATAATATATTTCAATTTCATCAACTTCGGCAGATTGCCAAAGAGCTAAACATTCAGGTGTGTTAAACTAGTTAATCTCTTTTGTAACAATTTCAGGAGGTCCTTATTAATATATACTAGAACAGAAACAGTTTTTACTTATTTAAAATTCAAACCTGCTTCTTCTCAGTCTTTTCAGCATCTTGATGGTCAGACGGGACATTGTAGTAAGACACAGTCTCTGTGTTTTTCTGACAGTCTCTTGTGGATAAGTCATTTTAACATCTTTTAACATCAGTTCCCTCATCTGTTAAATGGATGTAATTATACCTGCTCTTCCTATTTCAAAGTTCTCATGAAAATCAATGTTATAGCACTTCAAACATGTGCTATTACACATTATGGAAAATTGCCTGCTTAATTTCAAAAGTCTGATATTTGTTTTTCAGCTAATCTAAAATGTAAAATATTCTCTGTGTAATGGAATTTTTATTTTTTATTTAGGCATTGTAGAATCCACAGCTCAAATGTAGGCAGTTTGCTCTGTAAGAAGTAAAAATATTGCCCAAGAAACTTTACAGTTATATATTATTGTTTGAGAGATTTATTTTAAAAGTAGTATTTTGACATGTTACTTAATGAGATAAACCTTTTGATGTTTTCTTCCAGGTTGCTGATTTTGAAAATTTTATTGGATCACTAAATGACCAGGGTTACCTCTTGAAAAAAGGCCCAAAAGTTTACCAGCTTCAAACTATGTAAAAGGACTTCACCAAGTTAGGGCCTCCTGTGTTTATTAGCAGATTAAAGTCATCTCAATGAAGATATATGCCTGTGCACACACGCGTGCACACACACACACACACACACACACACACTCTCAAATACTGTTCTCTGAAAAATGATATCCCAAAAGTATTATAATAGGAAAAAAAGCATTAAATATAGTAAACTAATTTAGGAAGTAGTAAAATCTCCAGATGCAGTAGCTCACACTGTAATCACAGTGACTCAGGAGGCTGAGGCAAGAGGATTGCTTGAGGCCAGGGTTCGAGACCAACCTTGGGCAACATAGCAAGACCCTATTTCCTTAAAAAAAAAAAAAAAATAAAAAAAAAAAAAAAAAAAAAAAAATTAAACTTAGCTGGCTGTGGTGGCACATGCCTGTAGTCTCAGCTGCTTGTGAGGCTGAGACAGGAGGATTATTTGAGTCTAGGAGTTTGAGGTTACAGTGAGTCATGATCACACCACTGCACTCCAGCCTGGGCAATAGAGTAACTCTTGACTCAAACAAATAAAAAAAATTGCAATGATAGTCATGTGTTAATTGTTAAATAAATTCTCCAAAAGGCTAAATTACTTATAAATTATTTATAGTTGTATTTTTGACCTGCTTTTTTATATGTATGAATATTTCATAGTTTTGCATATCAAATGTACGCATTCAGACAAATACATAAACCAGTGAACATATTACATATTCTGTGTTCCAATAAAACTTTATAAAGGACACTAAAATTTGAATTTTGTAAAATTTTCCCATGTCAAGAATACAAAATACTTTATTTTTGGTTTTAGTCATTTAATAATGGGCCTCATTTAGTCCACAGACTGGTTTGTAGTGTCTTGGTTGCAAACAATAGAAACTGACTGATTAAGCAGAAGTTTTTTGAAAGAATTTTGCTTAGCTTATGGAATTATTAGAAGGCAGGTAAACCAGAAGGGTAAGCTTCCAGCAACAATTTGTAAAACCATGCCTTAGAACTGTACTAAAGAAGCGGCTGACACTCTGCTGCCACACAGGGCAGTAGAAGAAAGTGATACTGCCTCCATGCCTACCTTTGCCACTTCTGCAGCAGGAATAGGTAGAGGAATGCCCCCACCCACACTGGAACAGCAACAAAAAGATTCTCTGTGAGGCTTCCCTAAATTGCTGAGTTCAAAAAGGAAGTCTCATCCAAAGACATCTGATTGAAAAAGGCTATGTTATATACCCTTTTCATAGGGAGTTTTCCTCGTTCTACCTTTGGGTGGTGGGATCAATAAAAGCAGAATTTCTCACATGTTGTGGGAGGATTCAAATGTTACAGGGTTGCCAGCCAAACTATCAATCATGTATAAATCTAACAGTTTGTAACATACAAGAACTCAGGAAATGTGAACCATTGCTGGAGAATCTACTAAAAATTCAACTTCTAGCAAACTGGAAGATGAATGGAAAATGTAAATAAAAAGAACTAGCAGTGTATATCAGATGTTTAACTGTAGGACCAAAACTAAAATGTGGAGACAGTTGCCATAGACCACAAAATAAACTTTTTTTTTAAGGAAGGAAGGAAAAATCAGGAATCAAAAGAGAGGCCAGGTGCAGTGGCTTACATCTACAATCTCAGAGCTTTGGGATGTTGAGGCTGGAGGATTACTTGAAGCCAGGAGTTTGAGGCCAGCCTGTGCAACACATTGAGACCCTACCTCTACAAAAAATAGACGACTGGGCATGGTGGTGCATGCCTATTGTCCTAGCTACTGTGGAGGCTGAAGTAGCAGGATCACTTGAGCCCAGGAGTTTGAGGTTACAGTGAGCTATAATTATACCACTGCACTCCATCCTGGGCAGGAGCAAGACTTGTGTCTTTTAGAGAAATAAAAGGAGAAAGTAGATAGTAGTATAAATAATAGCGAGGTCTTTAAAGGCTATTGGTTAAAAGATCTATAAAGCAAATTAGCCAGGGATGGTGGCACATGCCTGTAATCCCAACCACTAGGAAGGCTGAGGCAGGAGAATCACTTGAACGTGGGAGGCGGAGGTTGCAGTGAGCCAAGATCACACCACTGCACTCCAGCCTGGGCCATAGAGTGAGACTGTCTCCAAACTAAATATATTTAAAGCTAAAAAAATTATTAATAGAATTTAAAACATTTCACAAAAGTCAACACATAATATCAACCATGATAAAGTGGTAGACAAGAGGAAATATACTTACTGTTCAAAGAGGAAAATAAGTCTCAAAGGTTAGGGTTATTATGTAAATTTATTTTAAAAAGACATAAACTTACATTTTCAGAGGAAATTGTTCCATGTTTCCTTAGATTCTGTCTTTATCCATTAATCACAGGGCCAGACTAACAAAAGTTGTTTAGCTTTCCCTTACAATCCAGCTTTTGTGGGTACGCAAACATCACATTACAGTCCCTCCAACCACAAACCTCGACATCTAGTATTTCACTTCCTGCCCAGTAGGGGTGTCCCCACACCTTTCAACCACTATTGCAATAAAGCTCTCGCCTAGGTTTTTCACTTGCATCTTTACCTCCTGACTGACTTTCCTCATGTGGCCTGGTGTGGCATGGCATGCCCTCTTCAGAGATGAAAGTCATCTTTCATAGGCAATTGTTTCTGTGTCACCATTGCTGATTAAAACAATTCCTAAGTACAAATAGAACAGAAACATGCAAAGCAAGAAAATATTACATCATGAAAGTTTTTTTTTAAGAGATGGTGGTCTTGCTGTGTTGTCCAGGGTGGACTCGAACTCCGCAGCTCGAGCAGTCCTCCCACTGCAGCCTCCTGAATAGCCTAGACTATAGGCATGCACCACTATGCCTGGCTGCAAAAATATTTTATTAAGAGATGGTCTTGTTCTGTTGCCCAGGCTGGAGTGCAGTGACATGATCAAGCCTTGATGTCCTCTCAAGCAGTCCTCCTACCTTCGCCTCCTGAGTAGCTGGAACCACAGGAATATGACACCATGCCCGGCTAGTTTTGATTTTAGTAGAGATGAGGGCTTGCTTTGTTGCCGAGGCTGGTCCCAAACTCCAGGACTTCTTGAGTAGCTGGGACTACAGGTGTGAGCCACCATGCCCAGCCTCCTCTTTCTACCAATATTGTGCTAAGTAAATTGTTTGGTGGTAATCAACTTGATCATTTCATCCTTAGGATAGAGGATATCAAAGTGAAAGTATAACTGAACCAGAAGAGGAATAAACACCATACTGTGTTGATGGATCTTTATAGCTCCCCTTTGATAAAGAAGGGAAATGCTGTACTTACATTAACATGTTATAGTTGCTGTTGCTATACAGAAGAATATTAAACTATTCGTATATTTATGAATGCATTTAATTCATAAACAATTATATGGATATGGACTAGCCAAAGGGGTGGATAATAGGAGATACAGTGATATGGTGATTTGGTATTCAGTATCCATTCTATCCTCCTACTGTGCCTTCCTACAATGCAGAGGCTGGAAGGTGAGAAAATAACCACATTTCCCAGACTCCCTTTGCAGGTAGATTTCTAAATGTGAATTGGCTTCCACTGATCAGATACTCATGTGAGATTTGGAAGGCAGACTTGAAGATAGAGCCATCTTCCTCTTGCTTGTGTTCTGGTGGCATGTGTGGTTGAGGAGACAATTTCCCTGTAGCAGAATTCTTGCTCCATGTTCAAAAACAAAATGCTTCATGTGGCCGAGCGAAGAAAAAAGTGGTATGTTTGCATTCCATTTGCAGGTATCACATAACCCCATTTTAAATTAAATGCCTAGCTTTTGGTGGGGAAAAAAATTGTCTCATGCTCACATTTGAAGATTCCTCTCAGAAATAAGCCATTTAAAGAGACCCCAGTACTGGTTTAATTTTTTCCGGTTGGGGCAGAGGGAAACAAGTGGTTTACCATCTTTTGAAATTCAGTCACATGTTCTGAATAGGAAGACAGTTAGATATAACATTAAAACAAGGCTTTCTGAACCAGCAATCCCCAACCTTTTGCCACCAGGGACTAGTTTCGGGGAAGACAATTTTCCACAGACTTGGGTAGGGGGATGGTTTTGGGATGAAACTTCCACCTCAAGTCATCAGGCATTAGATTCTCTTAAGGAACACACAACCTAAATCTCTCGAATGTGCATAGGGTTCATACTTCTATGAGAATCTAATGTGCTGTTGATCTGGCAGGAAGCAGAGCTCAGGTGGTGATGCTTGCCTGCAGCTCACCTCTTGCTGTGTGGCCTGGTTCCTAAGAGGCCATGGATTAGTACTGGTCCACAGCTCAGGAGTTGTGGACCCGTGTAACAAAAGGAAAGCTTTACAGGATGGAGGAAATAAATGGAAAATAAAGCAGGATGTACACTAAATGATGCTAAAAATCGCTTTATCACCTTTAAAATATTACACGCAGAGGGGAAATATATTAAAACCAGCCCTTTTACTTTCTTATTTGTAGATAATGCCTGCCTGTGAGAATGTTATTTCTTTTAAAGGTTCCGAAAGTACCATATAAAAACTTAGTAATGATTTAATTGTTCACATATTCTAGTGACATCAATACTTTTTCAGGAAGAAATATGGAAAGGCTGACATCAGAAGTTGACATAAGAATTAGTTTAGCCAGATGCAGTGGCACATGCCTGAAGTCCCAGATACACAGGAGGCTGAGGCAGAAGGATTGCTTGAAGCCAGGAATTCTGGGCTATTACCCTGCGCTATGTTGATTGGGTGTCCACATTAACATAGTGACCTGGGAGTGGTGAACCTGCCCAGGTCAGAAATGGAGCAGGTCAGTAGTGGGATCGCACCTGTGAAGAGCCACAGCACTCCAGCCTGGGCTATATATGGTTAGACCTTTTCTCTTACCTAAAAAATAATAAAAATTTAAAAGAATTAGTTTAGATCTCTTGATAATTTAAACAGTAAATTATAGAGTATAGGTGGAGTTAATCTCTGGAATTCCTGAGGAGCTATGCCAAAGTGCGCCACTGTACTCCAGCCTGGGCAACAGAGAGAGACTGTCTT